GAGAAAGTGTAACGTCCTTCTTACGGTCACTCTAAGGTTCCCGAAAATATTTGTATCGACAGCGTGAAAGTTATTTTATCATAGTGTTTATTTATTGATTGTTTCGTACTTTGGGGGATGAAATGCTGTTCGCTGTAAGTTGTTTGCAGTGCAATGACTTGAGATTGAAAAGATAATTTATTTTAGGATAAGCTAAAAATAGTAACTCTTGCATTATTTTTATACAGTGGAAAATGTTCTTTCAGTAAACCAGATTAATAAACAAGCACGTTGACACGTAAGTATTATTTATAAATGCAGCAATATAATAAAACCTAATGTGTAAGCAATTTTACGCCTAAATGATCACATATTCGCTCTTTTGTAAATGTTTCTCCATGAAACATACTTAATTTAGTTCTAAGTTGTGTATAGAGTCAATTGAAACGCACTTATATCAACCGTGTGTCCTTTAACTACAAAAACACGGAACTAAAGTGTTAGTAATCGAATAATTCCTAGTTCGCGCTTGAATGGCCGCCCGGCTCCTTTCTTCGGCGCGTGCGCCGCCGACGAAGGCTGCGCGCCATTCACGATCTAATGCTTATTGATTTAGATACGCTTATGGAATCATTAGGAAGCTAAGATATGGCCTTCCAAGAATGAAGTAAATACAAGGACGTGGGATGTCAAAGTCCTGGACAAGCTGCAAGCTAAAATTATGTCGTCGGGCTGGTGAGATGAATTATTCGGCCAACCGGATCTACAGAAAAAGCTATGAAGTTGTTATAGCCGGTTCTCACCGGACCTAGAATTTATTTTTATCAAATCAATGCAAATGCATTCATACATTCAACAGATAACGTAAGATGTGAGTCATATTGATGCTCTGATGTTTAATTTGGTTATATTATTATAGATTACAAATTGTTGTGACCCGGCGAACAAAATGATAGAAATACGAACGAATATGTAATCTTGAACTTATTTACCGGTGTATTACTCGTATTTTATCAAAGTTGTGATAATTATGTAATATTGCATTTTAATTAGGCAATCTGAAAACCCCTCAAATGGTGGTTGATGCTAAGTGAAGATGTGGACTGCAATTCAATAGGATGAAATAACGTCGAAGATTTAAACTACTTAAGTTAAATGATACGACTTGACACAAGAGTATAAAAAAATACAAAAAATAATTCTCTACAAAAATGCGAAAATATTAAAGTAAACCCCCTTTTCATTTTCCAACTCAAAATATTAAATTAGTTTACCCATTTTTTGGCTATGATATCATAATTGTTATAACCGCTTTTATTACGTAGCAGGCGGTATGAACTACCCGGCTAAAGCATCGCGAATGGCCGCCGTTGCGCACTACATACTCCGACCACGAAATTCTTTCGCTTTGACCGCCACACACGCACCGAGGTCACGCATTTTATTGACAACTGACATTGTTCTAACAGATATTATTAAAGTCGAAATTCGCCTTACCTTTTAATTATATCCGGTCAGTATAAATATGACGGAGTGCAACTCGAATTTATCAGTCGACCGTGTGCGGTTTGAAGTGATCTAGTTCGTCAGAAAACACAGACCACGTTCANTTCACTCGTACCTCCAGAAATAGCAACTCATTGGAATATATCCTGGTGTAAAATATGTCCATAAACATGTTACATTTACAAAATAATAATTGAATAGGTGCTAAGCATGGATTAGAATTGAAAATTCTTTCCTTAAATTTTCCTATGGGGTTTTTTGCTCGCGGATTTATGGCAAACGTACTTATCAGAAATAAGATCAATCGCTGCGCAAAAGCTGCCCTCAACGAGGTTGTTTACTTTCACCTGACACTTGACATTGCTTGTTCACAAATAATTTAAGCCTCGTAATATAATAAGCTAATTATTTCATGGCTGTTAGTATAAAAAGCCTGTGTGTTGAGTAAGCAGTATCAGTCGACCGATCAACGGTTTGAAGTGATCCTCTAGTGTTCGTCGAATTACAACACAGACCACGTTCGCAATGAATCCGATGGTGGTGTTGTTCGCTCTGTTCGCCGCAGCTTGCGGCTCGCTGGTGCCGCTGGCGCAGCCCGCGCACCACCCCGCGCTCGTGCTGGACCCGCACGGCCGCCCCCTGGACACCGCCGAGGTCATCGGCGCGCGCGCCCTGCACCTGCAGGCCAAGGCGCTGGAGCACTCCTACGCCCCCGTGGCCCACGCCGCCGTCGTCGCCCCCGTCGCCCACAGCGTGTACGCCGCGCCCGTGGCCCACTCCGTGCTCGCGCCCGCCGCCGTCTCCCACCAGTCCCGCGTCGACGTGCACTCCAGCCCCGCTGTCGTGTCGCACGCCGTGCACGCGCCCGTGCTCGCGCACGCCGCCTACTCGCCGCTGCTCGGCCACTCCGCCTACGGCCTCGCTGGACACGGCCATCTGCTGAAGAAGCGCTCCCTGGCCCACGTCGCCTACAGCGCCCCCGTCGTCGCCGTCGCTCCCTCCGCCGTCTCCCACCAGTCTCGCGTTGATGTCGTGTCCAGCCCTGCTGTGGTGTCCCACGCTGTCGCCGCCCCCGTCGTTGCCCACGCCGCCCCTATCGTCGCCCACGCCGCCCCCGTCGTCGCTGTGGCTCCCTCCGCCGTGTCCCACCAGTCCCGTGTTGACGTGCGCACCAGCCCCGCTGTAGTGTCCCACTCCGTGGTCGCCCCCGTCGCCCACAGCGTGTACGCCGCTGCCCCCGTCGCCCACAGCGTCTACGCCGCTGCCCCTGTCGCGCACGGCGTGTACGGTGCCGGCGCCTACGGTCACGGTGTGGTCGCTCCCCTTGCCCACAGCTCTGCCTACCATCATGCCTCTCCCTTGGTCCATGCCTGGTGAACAGCGAATCTGACGAACCTAAGAACTTAGTGAATTGTAAAAATGTAAAAAAAATATTTATAAATAAAATATGTGAAAACCATAACATTTCTGTATATTTTTTCTATATATCTCGACCTCCTTCCTCTACATAAGAGTTATTTCAAAACATTAACATAAAACCTTCAAAGGAGACACTTACCTACTCGTATTTTGTGTGTATTCCTTAAGCGATTCGCCAAAAGTTCTCGTAAATAAAAACACTACTTAGAACAGTCACAGGCTAACAGGATAGACAGAGGTAACAAAAAGACATTTTAGTTTATGCCTTGAGCCTATTTTTAAGCCAAACATGGGCTTAGCATTGATCAAATAAAATTAAAAGTATTAACGAACATTTTCAGTGACATTGTTGCCAATTTTAAGACTGAATAATGAAAGTATAACTTAATACGTAATTTCAAGTGAAGTAAGTTTTAACGATACCCGATAACCTTCTACACATGAACTAAGAATGTTTTATGTAAGTCCAGAGATATGTATAATACCAATATTAATTTTATGTCTCTTTCTCCTATTTAAAATCGTTTTTAGTTAGCATAAAAAGTGTAACAAGGAGGCAAAAGCTTTAAGATATTTCTATACTTTACAAGCTTTTATTTAACTTGAACTGTTCAGATGTACAAGTAAGCGACCACTTAATGGAAACCTGTCCTATCTGATTAAGATAATTTTGCATACACTTTTGTTGTCATGTTTAGAAAAATAAAATATGTTAAATGCCATTATTTGATATTGCGGAAATAAAATCGCTACACAGAAATTACAGGATTTAGTCACAGTGAGGATGATTAGGATTCATGAACACTACATAAAATAGAAGAAAACACAGTTGCTTATCCGCAGTTTGAGTAGCCTAATTACGTATCGTATCTGAAAAAATATGATTACCTTCACATTCTTACTTATTTTAAACAACCCTAGGTTGTCTGGAAGAGATCGTTCAAGTTCAAGTTAAAACGTTTATTTGCCAAAAACACAGTAATAAAAGGTAACAATATTATGGTAATTAAGCTCATGTGTTCAATCTGCTCGCAGACGTGTAAAAATTTCAAAATTTAATAAAATAATAGTTAATAAATAAGATAAAATTTCAAATAATTAAGTTAATGTCAGCGTGCCTCAGCGGGAGGCATGCTACGCTCTGTATGAACGAACCATCACAGATAACTAGCCATTAATGAAGTCTAACACCACGTTTTATGCCCTCATTTAAAGAAGGCCGACCATTCATATTTATTTTTTAACCATTTTGTTGATGTCTTTTTTGGTTGATTTCTCACACGATATACAGAGTGTCAGAAAATTAGCACTTCATACTGATATTGGAGGTACTGGGCATGAGACGCATCGAAGAAGAATTTACAAAACACCTTTTGTTTGTCGAATAAAAAAACATTAATTGTTCAGTTGTCTCCACGTCACACATTATCCCAATAACCTTATATTTTTAAATATCTTCAAAATTATAAGTTGAATTATCGTAAATACCGGATCAGTTTAATGACATACTTGTTCCATTGCTTTTGCAGTGGTTATAAATCAGCTAATTGAGCCAATGGTATATACTACCGACCTGCCTATAATTTCCGAAGCCATGACATTATGCAAAATAATGTTCCTGTGTTAAACTGCTGTATAATTAACAAGAATTATTATAAGTACCCCTGAAAATAATTAGAGTGTGACTGATAGACGTAATTATTGTGGTATAAAGACTCTTAAGATAAAACTTTTTTGCAAATTCCTCGTACAAGTCGACTTAATCTTACCGACTATTACTTATCTTAAAAACTTTCCTACAACTATTAAAGTTTGCTATATTTCTTTTATTACAAAAGTAATTGCCACTGCTACTGTCAAAATTACTCGTAGCAACTTTATTAATACTCTAACAACATCAGTAGCCACTCCAATCTGATATCACTTTATTTATGAGTCAATTTTCTAGGGAACATGACACAAAATACTCGTCTGTTATTTTGTAAATTCTTAACTTACTCGTATGTAACTATGTATTATACATAGATACTGCAATAATACTCTTAACTTAGTAATGTTTGGGGTGATAAGGCATCAATTGAAATTAAAGAAATGTGTAAATTTGTAAAATTGGTCTATATTTGTCTATTCATTTTAATAAAATAAACTATTAAAACGAAAACTACATCGTTCGTCGAATCGTTGTTCACCAAAGGGCGGAATGGAAGAGTCCAGAATGGGAAAGATGCGCAGCGGGGGCGGTCCAGACGGCGGAGTGCGCGAGGGGCGCCACGTGAGCGTAGGACACGGAGGGGACGGCGTGAGCGACGGCCACGGGGGCAGACACGACCTCGGACACCACGGCGGGTTTCGAGATCACGTCAACGCGAGACTGATGCGACACGGCGGAGGGAGCAATGTGAGCAACGTGGGCAACGGGAGCGTAGACGTGAGCAAGAGAACGCTTCTTCAGGAGATGGCCGTGAGAGAGACCCAAGCCAGCGTGAGCACCGTAGACGGAAGATACACCGTGACCGTAGGCGCCGGCACCGTACACGCTGTGGGCGNTTTTTCTATACTCGTATATCTCAACCTCCTTCCTCTACATAAGAGTTATTTCAAAACATTAGCATAAAACCTTCAAAGGAGACACTTACTCGTATTTTGTGTGTATTCCATAATAAGCAATTTGCCAAAAGTTCTCGTAAATAAAAACACTACTTAGAACAGTCACAGGCTAACAGGATAGACAGAGGTAACAAAACATTTTAGTTTGTGCCTTGAGCCTATTTTTATGCCAAACATGGGCTTAGCATTGATAAATAAAATTAAAAGTATTAACGAACATTTTCAGTGACATTGTTGCCAATTTTAAGACTGAATAATGAAAATATGACTTAATATGTAATTTCAAGTGAAGTAAGTTTTAACGATACCCGATAACCTTCTACAAATGAACTAAGAATGTTTTAAGTAAGTCCAGAGTTGTATACTTGTTTTACTTAATAACAATATTAATTGTATGTTTCTTTCTCCTATTTAAAATCGTTTTTAGTTAGCATAGAAAGTGTAACAAGGAGGCAAAAGCTTTAAGATGTTTCTATACTTTACGAGCTTTTATTTAACTTGAACTGTTCGGATGTACCTACAAGTTAGCGACCACTTAATGGAACCTACGTGTACATCCTATCTGATTAAGATAATTTTGCATACACCTTTGTTGTCATGTTTAGAAAAATAAAATATGTTGACGAATGACATCCACTGCTGGACAAAGGCCTTCCCCAAGGTTTTCCACAATGAAAGGTCCTGCACCGCCCGCATCTAGGCTCCTCCCGCGACCTTTACCAGATCGTCGGTCCACCTAGTAGGAGGCCTGCCCACGCTACGTCTTCCAGCCCGTGGTCGCCATTCGAGAACTTTTCTGCCCCAACGACCATCGTCTCTACGAGCTATGTGCCCCGGCCACTGCCACTTGATTTTAGCAATTCTGCGTGCTATCACTTTGGTTCTCCTTCGGATCTCCTCATTTCCGATTCGATCACGCAGGGAAACTCCGAGCATAGCCCGCTCCATCGCTCTTTGGGTGACCTTGAGACTTCTTATGAGGCCCATAGTAAGCGACCACGTTTCAGATGTATATGTTATATCACAGAATAATAATAAGTACTGTTATAGTCAAACTCATAATCAGTCAAAACGACTATTGACTACAAAAGATAAGACGCCCTTCGTTAATATCACTTTACGACTAGAAAAATTAGTCAAAAATGGTGTTGACCGATTATAAGTTTTACTGCAACATCTTATGCAAAAAGTATATTTACAAGTAGGTATGTATAAATATAACTTACGTGTCTCGGGTGGCATGCCAAGCTCTATGAACGAACCATCACAAACGCTTAGCGACTGAATTACGTAGTATGTCCTCATTATAAAGGAAAGAAAGTAAGAAAGAAAAAATATTTATTTGGTACTAAAAGGTTGTGGTAAAAATCGTTGATTGTTCAGTTGTCACCTTGTCACACTTTATCCCAATAATCTTATATTTTAAAATATCGTCAAAATTATGAGAAATCTTAAAATATCGTAAATACCGGATCAGTTTAATGACATACTTGTTCCATTGCTTTTGCAGTGGTTATAAATCAGCTAATTGAGCCAATGGTTTAAACTACCGACCTGTCTATAATTTCCGAAGCCATGACATTATGTTCCTGTGTTAAACTGCTGTATAATTAACAAGAATTATTATTAGTACCCCTGAAAATAATTAGAGTGTGACTGATACACGTAATTATTTGTGGTATAAAGACTCTCAAAAGACAAAACTTTTTTGCAAATTCCTCGTACAAGTCGACTTAATCTTAACGACTATTACTTATCTTCGAAATGAAAATAAAAACTTTCCTACAACTACACTCGGCATCAAATAAATCGCACCTTCCGCAACAAGCACTTTTCAAAAGTATGCATCCTCACTTCCCACCAACATTGGTACCATTTGAAAGCCTAGTTCTAAACTTAATTTCATTAAAAGAAAGGTTTTTATCCCAAAAATGTGTCTTTAGAAGGATCCAGAGTCACTTCTTCGAAAAATAGGTAGTTGTTACGCTTGAACCAACTTTATTAATCGCTATCCATCTGTTAAAGAGGACACGTGAGGTTATTATTTGGTTTTATAACCATAAAAATTGGTCTAATTGATCCCACAAGTGAGCCCAAAGTGAGGTCATTTTTCAAGTCACATTTATGGTATATGTTAATCATTTATTAAGAAACTAGCTTTCCGCCCGCGGCTTCGCCCGCGTGGAATTTTGTCTGTCACAGAAAAACTTTATCGCGCGCGTCCCTGTTTCAAAAACCGGGATAAAAACTATCCTATGTTCTTTCCCGGGACTCAAACTATCTCTATGCCAAATTTAATCAAAATCGGTTGCGAGGTTTAAGCGGGAAAGCGTAACAGACAGACAGACAGACAGACAGACAGACAGACAGACAGACAGAGTTACTTTCGCATTTATAATATTAGTTGGGATTAAATGTGTTTTTCTTTAAGGATATTTATTCAAATAACACCAATATTGTTGGAGCACCATGATTGTGTCAGAAAAAAAGTTCGCGTCGCGGAAGGTGCGATTTATTTGATGTTGAGTATATTAAAGTTTGCTATTATTTCTTTTATTACAAAAGTAATTGCCACTGCTACTGTCAAAATTACTCGTAGCAACTTTATTAATACTCTAACAACATCAGTAGCCACTCCAATCTGATATCACTTTATTTATCCGTCAATTTCTCTAGGGAACATGACACAAAATACTCGTCTGTTATTTTATAAATTCTTAACTTATGTAACTATGTATTATACATAGATACTTCAATAATTGATAATACTCTTACTTAGTAATGTTTGGGGTGATTAGGCATCAATTGAAATTAAAGAAATGTGTAAATTTGTAAAATTGGTCTATATTTGTCTATTCATTTTAATAAAATAAACTATTAAAACGAAAACTACATCGTTCGTCGAATCGTTGTTCACCAAAGGGCGGAATGGAAGAGTCCGGAATGGGAAAGATGCGCAGCGGGGGCGGTCCAGACGGCGGAGTGCGCGAGGGGCGCCACGTGAGCGTAGGACACGGAGGGGACGGCGTGAGCGACGGCCACGGGGGCAGACACGACCTCGGACACCACAGCGGGTTTCGAGATCACGTCAACGCGAGACTGATGCGACACGGCGGAGGGAGCAATGTGAGCAACGTGGGCAACGGGAGCGTAGACGTGAGCAAGAGAACGCTTCTTCAGGAGATGGCCGTGAGAGAGACCCAAGCCAGCGTGAGCACCGTAGATGGAAGATACACCGTGACCGTAGGCGCCGGCACCGTACACGCTGTGGGCACCATCTTGTAGGTGGACTTATTGGGTCTTGTGGGTTTATTCGCTTTAGCAACCCATAATAAAACCCTTAAGAAGAAATAAAACTTTAACCCCTTTATTAATAAAAGTTACACCCTAGTTGAACTCTGGCTTAAATTGTCATTTGGTATGGAAATGTCATTATAATCTTTTAATCAAGGTTTTTTTTAATCAAGGTTCTTCCTACGTGTAACTTTTTATTAATAAGGGGGTAACTTCTTTGAATAAAAATATTTATTTCACAATTGTCCCCATCAATAATTATAGAGTTAAGGAAGGATGCTGGAGCAGTAAACCCTTCCTGCCTCGCATAACCTAAGTACCATACGATGGACACGTATGATACTTCTTCTTCTTCTTCCTCGGTCCCTCACTGATGAGGATCGCGACCACAGATAGTCTTCCTCCACAGACTGCGGTCATAAGCTGTGTGGACCGCACGATGCAAACTCCCGTCCACCGTCTTCCTCACCGCGACCATCTCGTCGGTGCCCTGCCCCTAGCGCGTCCCCCTTCATACTGTATGATACTTAGGTTACACAAAGAGTATCTTTATCTTCGAACGCAACCAGATCTGAGGCTGGTGGCCATAGTAAATGTTGTTCGTCTTGGTAAGACCTTTCATATGACACTACAAACATAACTATTGGAGCTGGGTAGCATTCTGCAAAAAAGTATGTATATCTTCGTACACAACCAGATCTGAGGCTGGTGGTCATAGTAAAAGTTGTTCATCTCGGTAAGACCTTTCAAACGATACTAGACACATATCTATTGGAGCCGGGTACCATTTTGCCCATTGTCCTTTTCGCTATTCAATCACACACTCACGATTGCAACCGAAATTGAATTGATCTGCCCCCTAGACAAGTGGCAAAATCTGATATTCTATTCGGACGGATTCGATTTTCGAAAAGTGTGACTAGTCTAGTCTACTAATAGACCCACTGATCGCGTTCAAAGCACCTGTGCGGAGCTATACTCGTCACGACATGCAACGAGACAATGGGCCAACTATCCGGCCGCCGGATATCCGGCTATCCGGCCTAGCAGCTGGCCGGATATCCGGTATCCGGTATCCGGCCAAACAACTATCCGTTTCATCTCTAATAATCATATTATCTTTGAAAAAAAAAATGATCTGAAGAAAATAATTTTTAAAATATATTATTACCACGAACCGTAAAGTTCACCGGTATTATTTTTCTTTATAACATTATCACCATCTAAAAAAAATAATCGGTGTCTGCCATAACTACATTTTTATTTGATTATGGCTACTTATTTAGACTAAAACCTGTATAAGATTCCAAAAGTTTGTCCGGAGTTGGTACACTTCAGACATTTGCTAGAGAACAAAGTTGAAGTTCCTATAGTCATAAACTTTCGAGACGTCAACACAACAGTTATGAAGACGCGAGCGGAGCAACAAAAGTTTTANCGATAAGGCAACTTCCCCTTCCATTCGTCCAAGTCAACCGGCTCGAAACGACTTATCGACAGCATGCCCCGGAAGTAGTCAAAATCAATACTTAAATAACAATTTATATCTAAAATACTAAATTGTATACAATAAAATTTCTAAAATAATTACATTAAATAATAAACATGAAATATGTAATTGAATATAATACAAAATAAATTAATATCTGCAACAATGTCCAGGAAGTAATCAAGTAAAGTATTTAATTTTAATAATGGGTTTTTAAATTCTACCAAAATTATTACAATAACTATTTATAAGCAACTAATAATCGTATAAAATACAATATTAATTCTAAAATCATTACAGGTGAAAGTAAACAACCTCGTTGAGGGCAGCTTTTCCGCAGCGATTGATCTTATTTCTGATAAGTACGTTTGCCATAAATCCGCGAGCAAAAAACCCCATAGGAAAATTTAAGGAAAGAATTTTCAATTCTAATCCATGCTTAGCACCTATTCAATTATTATTTTGTAAATGTAACATGTTTATGGACATATTTTACACCAGGATATATTCCAATGAGTTGCTATTTCTGGAGGTACGAGTGAAACCAAAGTTCCGACAGATGACGTAGACATTCCTCCCTAATCAGTGGAATTCAACAACTATAGCAACTACTTTTAAAGTGACTTCAATTATGGACATTCAAACGCCGAGTCAAACTTGCAAGGCAAATATGGTGATGTAATGTAAATACGAGAATAATATTTGCAAATAGTATCTAGATAAAATAATGTGTGTAAGATTACTAAAAATGCTAACTGTTCGTATTATTTCTTAGATTTATTACTACTTAATATTAATATTAACTTTTAAAAGCATTGAAATATCAATAAAAATTAAAATAATGATTAAAGCAAACATTATTCTAAGTTATTAACATCTTGTATGTCCTTATCAAAGGTATATTCTTCATATACGTAAGCTCAAAACATTCTTTAAACAATCGAAATGATCGGGTTATACAATAAAACATCATTTGTATACATAAATAACTGCATAATATGTTTTACATTTTAATACAAAATCACGCAAAGTATAATTAAAAAGATTGCAATGAGATGAGCAAAAACAATACAGTGAAATTATTATCAATGACGTAATTATGTAACCCGGAAAATAATTCATTTCAAATTAACGTGCACACAATGTACGAGTAAGAATTTGGCAAGGTCAGATGCAAGCATTCCAATTCAATAGGACTTGTAATAAATAAATAAGTTATTGTTCCGATATTATGTAATACGTTATGTTATTACTTGTTTATCAGGTTCAACTACATTTTATGAATGGACTATAAAACTAGACCGCTTGAGTTGTGTAAAAACAAATGAACAAAACGAATACTTTGTGACTCAGTTGACATATCGATTTCGATGTAACACATGACAGCACCTCAAGCCAAACTTTGTGGCATCTTATACTCGTACATAGTTAGGTAAATGGGTTTATAAGCCGACACTGACCCATGTTAACATGTGCATAATTATAAATGGTATGGTGAAGTCAGAAATTTGATATCATCATTTTAATTTCTTTAATTATAAAATCAGATTTGTATCAAAATTAAAAAAAATATTACTCCTCTGTAACATGGGCTAGTGTCGGCTCATAAACTCATTTACCTAACAACCTCTATGTAGCTTTGATAGGTCTACTATTGAGTTACGATATATCTAATGTACTACAAGTACAACTAAAGTGCTACGTAAGTAGGTAAATATTAATTCAATGGGCTCTACTTGGCAACATAAACGTACTTTATTCAAAATCAAAATCAAAATCAAAAGTATTTATTCAGTTTAGACCACAAGTGGCACTTATGAACGTCAAAATTATTATAGAAAATAATAAAAAAGAAAGAAAAGTTAGCCCTTATGGGGCACTTTACATGTCTCCTTATCTTTGTACATACAACTGTACGAGTACTGTACGATTTCATTTTTCTAAATCTCATAACTCCGTTTTAGACACTTGCCGCGAATTTTCATGTAATTTCTTTTAATTGTAATAACTACTTACCTATTTATAAAAACTTCATAACAAAAGTTTCTTGCTGAAGATTCGTCTGCTCGTTTGCCTCCTGTCACATAAAAAAATGTGCTTTCTGTATTTGATCTAATGGAGTTACGAGCTTTGACACTTTTTAGCTGACGATAGAGATAATGTTCACGGATAAAATTTCAATTTTAAATACAAGTCAAATGATTCATTACAAACTACGAGTATTATGTACTAGCACCTTCTGATCATCTCTAGCCATCAGTTGACGTTTCTTCTAAAATGCTGTTGCCCGACAGGGTCCATAATTGTAATTTAAAATAATACCGCCTCTGTAATATTAAGGCTGGATTGGACCATTAGGCTGAGTTGCACCACCTAAATTTAACCGTAACTATAACGATAACCGGTGTTTTTTTATGGAATTTGACAGATTTTTAACGTTTGTTAAGAGACCTAGAGCTTCCTCGTTCTAATTAAAAAAAGCTTCTACTTAAAGTTTCGCTTGTGTAGCTTTTAGTCCGTCACTGACATCCTAAATACTTGAATGTGAATTCTCATATCTCTAAATGATATTAATCAGGTTTTACGTAGATATTATTCAGGTTTTTAGTAAAAATAATATACTTTCGTACTGTTTACTCAAGTTCAGTTACTATGTATTATTCCTACTCATAGCTTTGTCTACGTGATTTTAAAGATACCCTAAGGACATCAGATTGTCAGATTTTAAGCATTTTATACTGAAATAAAACTTACATCCAAATTATACTAACATTTAGCGCTGATTTCGCTTCTAAAACTTGCAATATTGTTCTTAATAAACATTAACATTTTACAACATGACTGCTATAAGCGCGTATTAATAAAATAAAACGTATTCATAATGTGTAAAAATTTTATTTATTTACATAATACATACATTTTCTTTAACGCTTACGGGATCCTTAATACTGTAATCTAGATTTACCAGCTGTACACAGCGGGGGTCAGAACCGAGCGGGCCTCGACCACGGGGGCCACTAGATGTTCGGAAACCACGGCCGGGGAGGACTGCACGTCGACGCGGGACTGGTGGGACACGGCAGAACCACCGGCGTACACGGTGCTGACGGGAGCGGCGGCGTAGGCCACCACAGGCTCGACGACGGGGGCGGATGCGACCACGGGGACAGAAGCGACTACGGCAGGGGATGAGCGGACGTCCACGCGGGATTGGTGGGACACGGCAGCGGGGGCGGCGTAGACAGCGCGCGCCTCTACCACGGGCTCGGCTACCACGTGAGTAGCGACTACTGGCTCAGCTACGTACTGAGTCACCACAGCTGGGGACGAGTGCACGTCCACCCGGGACTGATGGGACACGGCCGAGGGCACGTACAGCGAGGGGGCGGCCACCGCCGCGGCGATTACAGCGCACAACACCACCAGCGATCTCATATCGAACGAGGTCTGTGTTGGGATCCGAGTAAGGAAGATCACTTCGCACCGATCACGGTCGACTGATGCCTATTTCGGACTCGTCCTGCTATTTATACTAATGATAATATCTACGATTGATACCCGAGATCGTTTGGGCGTCTAGGAATACAAAGTGATCGTCCTTGTAAATGTCGCCGATATCAGTGGTAAAGGTCGCTCCTAAGTGTCTGCTACTGTTGGCTCTCGCGGTAGTAGGCAGCGGTAGCGAGCTGTTGACATTTGTGGACGGATAGTTGACATCGTGGGTGGCTACATGCAAAAAGCTCATTGTATGGTGATCTACAAACGTTTATTTCCAAGGGCACTCTATATCCGTTTCACATCCGCAATAAATCGCCTATACCAATCAGAAGTACCCACATACTTAAGAGATTAATAGTTTACAAGTAGTTATCATGTTTTTAATTAAAGAAATTTACATATCGAGTTATACGAGAAGTTTCTAAGAAAACTATTTTTATTCGCAGCAGATAATTGGGTTTCCTCAAAACCGGTTATTTAAGAACACCATAAAACCTTAATATGTTAAAGTAGAATCTGACGTGATTGATTGACTTTAGTACCTAGAGGTAGATGTTATCACACTAATATTATAAAGGCGAAATTGTCCAATAAACGCGCTGAAAGCTTGGGGGCAATGTCATGGCCAGTACATACACATTAACTTTATACAAATTCAGTGAATACTCAAATATACATTTATATTTTATCATGCAATGATAGAAAATCTAACTTCTAAGTGGTTTTCGGTGAAATTTGAACTGCTAATCTGATATTGAAACTTATAAGAACTTATTGTCAGCGCAGGCCACGACGTGTATGTGCCCAAAACTTTCAATATAATAAAACTTATAAATTATTCGTTAGTCTTACTTTGACTGCAGAAAGTTCAATACGAGTGAAACCGCAAGAAAAGCCTAGTGCAAAACAAAAAAGTGACAGAATAAAGTACTTTAGCCGTTTGACATTCACGATTTTAATTAAACTGAGGATTTATAACGACCACCACGTCATTAAATAAAATACATTTTGTTTTTTTACAAGTAATCAAATTATTTCCCAAACTAGGTAGGTACCTAACATTAGGTTTTTGTGAGGTTCGACATGTAGGAGGACCTTAAGTTATAGCTTGCTATCAACAGTTGAACATTGATAATATAATCTGTTTAACTATTTTTAATTCAATTATACAACAGTGTTACGTGACCGATAATTAGGGAAGTATAACATTAATCTTCTAATTAATTATTTAAGCTAGTTGCACCACCTTACTTTAACTTTAACAAACTTCAGAAATCTGTCAATTACCATATACAAAGCACCAGTTATTGAATTAATTTAAACGGGTTTTAACGCGATACGCGGATAGTTTAAAATTAATTCAATTATGCAATGCGAAAGTTTAAAATTAATCTCCGGTTATTGTTACGGTTAAAGTAAGTTGGTGCAACTCAGCCTTAAAAAGACGTCTAGCTAGTTAAGAGATTCCGCAACCATTCTCCTACGACCGATTCATCAATGGACTTTTCGTAGACGATTCATTTATTTCCATTTCCCTATTATAAGTAGTTAAGCTTAAAAGCTTCAATTTGATTCAAGCTTAACCACACGTTTCAGAATTCAGAGTTATAAAGACACAGATAAATATTTTATTAACATTTTTATGTATTAATTATAGCCTTTGTTTGAACGATTTAATTACAATCGTGGGAAGGCGTAACGACATACAGGCATATTAATGTTTGTTGTTTGTTTATTGTTGTTATAAAATATTTGTAAACATAAAAGAACGCCCTCTAGCTAACAAGTGTTCAATCATATAACCATGCCGTTGCCATAAAAGCAAGTGGGTTTAATAGCATACAAACCTGTGATAAATTAGTTCATATTAGCTAACACATTTTTATACACTAACTATTCGGATCATTACCATTATTAGAAATATGTGAAACATTTCTTTTTTCCTACCTGCTTACTACGAGCAATGGACTACGACACTACTACGCCATACGAACTCAAACAACGCCACCTGTCTAAATACTTGCAAAACGAAAAGGTTTAGTAGCGAGACGACTACGCGGTCTCGTGGTGGAAAGTTGAACCAAGAAAACTATTATGAAAGAAATACGCGTTTATCCGATAGATGGCACTGTATAAAGTGGACCATAACAGTGCTACGAAAATGAGACGCTACGAATTCATACATTCTATAGAGCTACAAGGCTACATCTTTTTAATTTTCAGTGTTTATTTAGATATTATAACTTTAATGATAGTAAAGCATTCATAACGAAAGGGAAATTATTTATTTGGTTTAAAATACTTAAAAAAGCAAATAAAAGTATATTTTTGAAGGGTTCAGAAATAAATATCTCTCTAACTATAAGTATTCAGAATCGCATAATTATATCATAATCATTAATGTGTAACCTATTTGATTACTTCTAGAACTCTCTCAAATATTTTTTGTCACAGTTATTACTGTTACTTTTTATTCCTGCTAGATAACATACATAACGGAAAAATTGAATACAATGAACGAACGTATCAGTCATATTACTCTACATAACACAACAATCAATCACCGTACTGTAAAAATATACATTATCCAGTTCCACCAACCATAATAATTGCAGTAAATAAGTATGAGAACATTGCTACTTAAGTAATAGCTGCTTTCTCCACGGAGGATGTGACGTCATGGCTCGGTGGTGGCAAAGTTTCCAATTTCCATTGTTTTTGCGTACTTTATTAGCGCATCGCTTACTTTCTGATACCTTTGTATTGTCATGTAAATTAGTGTAGGTTCTCGTTAGCAAGGCTCATCTCAGATTTTTCCCTGATGTGTTGAAAAATACAATATTGTAGTTTCGTTACAATAAAAAGTATAAAATTTATTAAATAATACTAAAAGCATGATTAAAGGAAGTTCTCACATGCATTTCCCATTTTTACAATCGAGTAGACGATCAGAAGAAAATATAAAACCTACGAGTATTTCAGTTAACATCATATGAATTCATTAGTTCCTTTCATTACTTTCAACTTCAATGCGGCAGTGACTTTGTAAATTATCTACAACAGTTAATCACTATTAAACTTACTAATTAACTAAATGTTAGAACTAATAAAGCACAATTACATGAATACTCCGCAAATAACTTATTATTAGAAACTTGTATCCAAAAAACCGTTGCATAGTTTTTAAGAATGCCTTGAAAAAACAATTAGTTTCCATTTCAGTTCTCACGAGCCTGGAAAAACCCGGCTCGGTTGCGGTAGGAGTCCTTGGCAGGAGCAGGGAAGCCCAGAGTTACGTGGCGCTGCAGTCGACCGAAAGTAGGCCATCGAATCGATTAGAACAGCAGTGGCGTAGAGTCGTTTTATAACGATCACACAATGTTTTTTTATTTGATTGTTATTGTTATAACAAGATTTACTTAATTATTATGTTTACTATCTTTGGCTAAAAAGTATCTGAGGATACATTTTATATAAACTATAGTCATTTTATGTTTTTATCATTTAAATAATTTTAACATATTTTACTCAATTCCGAGTAACTATAATGAATAGAAAAATAATTTGTTACATATGGAAACAAAAGTATAACTTTTTTTGTTTTAATTTTACAAACTAAGTAAATTGTGGTGCAGATTTTCCCACCATGACGTATTGCGATAAGTCAAGACTGTGCTTTACTGTAAAAATTGTACAAATCATTGGTAAAGCATAGTTTACTAGTTTACGGGACTATTCCCACCTCTCGTTCCCACCACTGCAACTCCTGTGTAGCCAGGATCTACAGCTTGACCGCCACAAAAACCCAACCAATGAAGGTCAAGTTTGTCCCGGGGGAAAGTTAAACTGTCATTGGACCCGCAACGAAATTAATCAGAACATAGGAGGAGTTCGAAATTAAGGTTCGACTTCCCTCCATTGCAAAGCGGATGACAGGTGACAAACAAAGGTTTAAAACCTTTAAGAAAAAGATTATGCACCACGGACAATAAATTAAATTAAGGGGGCCTATCTTATGAGCAATTAGCAACTACCTGCCAATAATATTTTTCACAAAATCGCTTAAAAGCACGGAAATGTTTCCTTGTCGCGACAAGATCGGTGTAATAAATTGCGGAAACAGATGTATGTTGTATTGAATTAAGCATTATATCACGTTCATGTTTCATAGTTTACTAGTTTAAAAACTCGTCTTCTCTTATACTCAGATACTCGTAGCTATAATCCCCTTTTGATAAATTGTCTATTCCGCAACTGTTTATAATCGGCCTAAGTTGTCTAGAAGAGATCACACAAGCAATAAGAATGGCGCATAAATGGCATTCTAATCCATAAGTTCCTTCTATTTGTCAATATTGTGTATTGTAAAAAAAAGTGCTACCAATGAAATGAACGAACAAACGACGACTCTACAGCGGCTATATTCCGCATCTCTCGCGTGGCCTCCGCGCACCGCAATAGGCGCAGTTCGGAAAACCCGTGTCTTGCAATAAATTCCCAGTAATTGGCCAAAATAATATACTAACAATATTCAGCAACCTTCTTGAGAAATGTTTAATAGTTTTGATTAGAAAAACAAGGAAAACGGGAATTCCAACTAGGGCGACAACAATCATAATCTTAGAAAATGTAGCTAAGTTAAGAAACTAAGCAATTAATTTTAAATTGAAACTTTTCCATGCTTCTTTTATAATATTTCCATCCTGAATTGACGAGCAAAGGCCGTCATTCACTTTCAAGACATAAAAATAGTCGAGTGTACCAAATATTTAAACAGAAGTCAATAACCTATTGCGCAATACCAATTACAAAGTAGTCTACTCCAGCAACAGTGGCAGCAAAAAATGTAAACAGCGACGTCTTCGAAGCTACCTCACATTACGTCATCGAGTCCAGTGATCTTGTACCTCCTTGTACGCACTAGCGAAACTACACGTGACGCAGAGCGCTGCGATACTGAATTAAGCTTTTATACAGATTGAAATAGAGCTTAAAGTCTATCAAACCGTAAAAATGCACTGGTGTAAACGTCGGCGATAGAAGTTCAAAGTAAGGAAGTCGTAGTTGCAGGCTGTTGACGAGAACTGGCCACTCGACTATGTACTTTATGAATCTAGATAAAAGGCACAGAACTGAATTACATAACTGAGTGTTTTGAACTATAGTGAACTTGGGTTCGTTGCACCGTAGATGGGTGCAATGTCTTTAATCCACGGATATCACTCTAAGATCTCTGTATCCACCATCAATAACTTTGTTCCTAAAATAGTACAATAAAATGTAGCATTTTTGTGAAGAAATGTTGGCGCCAGTACAGCTGGTGCCGCCAACTCGCTAAATTAAGTTTCTTACGAAATCTATGTTGATTTCGAACAAAAAGCAAAAAAATTGCTAAATTCACTATTTTTATCTTTTATACAAAATTACAAATGAGTAAAGAAAAAAGATGGCCATGAAACTAATTATATTGTAATGTATGTAAAATATTTCGCTTGGCCAACAGTTGACGAAGTTCTTAGAGAGAAGTCAAAGGTACATGAATTAAAAATGCACCAAGACACACTGAATTCAAGGTTCCCCAGGATAATTTCAACGGTTTATCATTAATTTATCGATACATGCTTCATAGTTTTGGGAAGTTTACTTATCACAGCATCACGAGCTGCTGACCTTCTTAAAATAGTATTCAAATTGTTGAAACCTATTTATAAGAGTAATACGTGATGCCACCTGACTGGATGGGCTGATGATTTTAGTTGATGTCTGAGACATAATGTATGCGAAGACTGCATGATTTACTAAGAGCAGTGACTTTAGACTTATTTCATTAATTCTTTTAATCATTCTAGAATATCAAGATTTCCAAACTCAACACCCGGCCTACTTACTCGTATTTAGCTTCAACAACTATTTTAATACTTAGTCATAATGTAGTGCTTAATGGAGCATCAAAACAACAAATGTGAAGTAACACGGACCAGTAGCAATAGCACATTAGACTTTACACTTTTGTTGTAAAATAGCGTCTATTACAACCAACATAAGACGCTGGACTGTAAAGCTTGATGTGCTGCTTAGTACCACACGCGAGTCGCTCTGAATCGTGGTTCAGCGAACTGTTGCACAAGCTACGCCGGCGCAGGTCCGGCTCGCCGCGACTTGTGCAACGGACGCCGAAAACCTAAGTCCTGTTTTACGCAAAACTGTGATATCATGCTTATCATTGCACACGATGACTCATCGCTATTTCTAAACTCTTCTTCTACTTCTGTCTTTTTGGACCACGTGGGTGTAAACCTCTTTCAAATCAAGCCACCTTTTACGGATTAATTTCGATCCACTTTAATCCTGCTGTTCTGTTAGTCTTCGTGCAAACGCATTTGCGGTCCTCCTTATAGTCATTTAAAGAATATCATTAAAAAATACGATTACTTAGTAGACAGATCAATAGACTATACCTACGAGCTAAGTATCAATATTCTTGTATCAAACAATTACAACCTTCTGCTCAGTGGCACGAATCACTGAAAACTCTAATTTTAGTCAAAAGTAATAGAAACAAGCCCTAGGAACAAATTACTCCTTATTTATTTGGACCTCGCCAAACACAAGAGCCACCAAAAATCGATTATGTTGATTTAAAATTGCAACTGAATCGTCGAAATTGTTATTAATATAAACGGAACTACTCAATTTCAGTCGACTTCTCATTATAATATACTTAGAACATCATAATAATCATATACTTGGCGTAAATGTTGCGTAATTTTAGTAACACTACGACTACTTACATACATAAATATTAATTTAATTTTAAATGTAAATTTACATAGCTCTCTGAAACGAATGAGCGTCTTACCAAGCATAAAACAAAGATCGTTTGGCTTATGCCACAACAATCAAGAGTTTTGTTTAGTGGTTGGGGTTTTAAACATTTATTAAAATAGGTTCTATCAAACAATTTATTAATATTCTGTAGCTTGTATTATGTCGTATCCACTGATCACGTCTTCAGCCAAATCGAATCCGCAACGCAGTTGGCGTTTATGTCTATTGCGAATTACTAAGGCCCAGAACAGACGGTGAAACGCAACTGCAACGAAACTGCAACTGCTAGTTACTTTTGAATTGCATCTAAGTTTCTGCCATAGCGTCCGTTGAGAGACCACGCATGACACGACCAGTTTGAAACTTTCAGTTTCAGTTTCATTCATAAGAATCATCAGAAAGTTGCAGTTTCGTTGCACCGTCTGTTCTGGGCCTAACAAGCTGCCATCAACTTCACAACAACAGTAGTATGCTATGGCTATACAAAAATTGCAACACAAAGCTTTATGTCACTGCATGACTTCGGCCTGCATTATGAAATGGCACACAAGTATGAATGTACACTCAAGAATAAATCCACATAAATCCAACTTATCGTGACGATTAAGAAGCATGAGTTTGAATCGAGTTTTGAGCTTAATAGAACCACCAAATATAAGGGAATGATTACACTATGCCTGAAATACGCCTGATTTTGAGTCGTCCGCAGATTACGAGTATTTTGACCGACTCAAGCAGATTCTCCTTAATGCCTCACGACACACGAACTTTGTTTAACTAACAGCTACCTATTAACGAAACTAATGAATTTTATTTTATCTGAAGTTAAATTAACGAGCAGAAAAAAGTTGCATTTAACAGGATTAAAAACGATGTCATCGATGTCTGCGGGATACCCCGAAGGCCAATCTCATTGAGGACACTGAGTCACTCTGCGACCTCAAACCAACTCAGGACTCAAGACACGCGTTGCGACTTATGGCCATGGTGTAACAAGTTATGAATAAACACAGTAAACAAATCATATTAAGTGATAACAACAATTCATTTACAAAATATAATGCATGCGCGCTAACGCGTTGATGTCTTTTCTATGCTTGATGATAATTTCGCTCGCTATGTAATAACTATTGTATTACATTTACATTATCCAACTAAAACGAAACGAATATAATTGAAGCATTACTACAAATCAGTAATAATAACGTTTTAATATAAAATTATTACAACAGGCATACATCTGTTTTCTTTTACGCCATCAGAACTTTAAAATTAACGCAATAATGGGTCAATATCGTAATTCAATGCTATTAAGGCAGTTTTAGGGTGGCAATATCATTAAAAAGTATGTCACTGATCCTTATAGGACCGAGATGGCTGGGGAAAGCGAGGTATTGGCCTAATAAGGGATCCTCGCATTAGATAACTGCATTGTGTTGTAAGCATCAACAAAATTATAACAACTGACCAATGTCCACACTTTCTCACTAGTCGATCGAGGAGTTTGTTAGAGTGAAATGTACTCGTAATAAATATTAGAAACGAGATATATCAATAAAATTACTTATTTATTGAAATAAATCGATGCAATAATTAAAAAAACAAACAAACAATTGAAGCACGGGTGATATTTTTTTACTAAAATAAACTGACTCTCGAGTGCAATAAATTACTCAATATATTTATTATTGAGGTGTATTTTATGTTCCTGTTGCATAGACACTGCAATCGTGGTAATACCCAAAAACAATGGCACACAAGATCCGTAAAGTTGACCTCAATCGAACCCAGTTGCCTAACGTCTACTCGGAACACACTCGTCAATGAAATACTCCAAGGGTTGATCAATGAGACGCAAATGACGTCAGTGCCTGTACCACTACACCATTCAACGGCTTTTGATATCGCTAACTTACATCGAGATGTGACCAAATTGGAACCCAAACAGAGTCTATTGGTAGGAGGCAGAAACGCCAGTCTTACAAAATCGCTGTGCGTGCATCTTTGCCTCGGACGAAGTATAAAGCGTTGTAGTGATAGTTTGAGAGGCATTCGTACCCAAACAGTGCGACGGTGTGGTGGTGCAAGAGAGTTGAAGATAAACATTAGTGATAAATAAAGGATAACTGAAACAGAAGTAAGTTTCCATCAAGTGACAGAAAAGTGATATTTTAAAATGTGCGCGAAAATATTTGGGACTTTATCAAACAGTTGCAGTGCTGAAATTGCGCCAGTTTTTACTGGTGCCAAAAGTTGTAGATAATTTTAAAAAATCAGGCAGTACGTTGCGTCGTTTCCTGTGCTACAATATCTGTATTTAAAAATAATCAAGTGTCAGCTGTGCCTTGGATACGAGAGCTAATCCTCTCAGGTTCACGGGAACTTTCACTTTCCCTCGGAGGAAAGTCCTCCGTTCATTACTTGCAACCTAACGAGATCGCTACTGTTCTTGACAATAGAACAATGCCATTTAATTTCCTGTTTACCGCGTTTTGATGATTACTGAATAATTTTTACATGATAACAATCAAAACAATGTCTAATCGCTTTATTCTTTTATTTATTTCAATGGTTTTAGTTTGTGTAATTTATTATTTCTTCATAAACGGCCAATTATAAAATTGTTACAAAATTCGATATAAACAAGAGTAATATTATTTTTATATTTTTACATCATTATTTAAAATACTGAACTTTTTATGTCGCATTATAAATTAGATAATGTCTATTATAATTGTATTGATGAAACAAACACTTTCTTCCATTCAAGTCTCTTACTTTATATCACACGCTACTTTCCGCTCTATTGTTACGATTCAGTTAAGTTAATAAGAAAACTCCTAGATCTATTTGATGTATAAATAGGTGAAATTTGCATATAAGAGGACTCGTAATAAGTCGTTTCGTTGTGCTGTAACTCGTTGCATAAATAAACAAGATAAAAGCATTTCCGAGGTTGCGTAACTGTTACGCCGCAGTGACGCATCGGTCGCGACGCGCGCGGACTGCCGATGGGCCACTCGCGCCGGTTTTCGGTGACACTGACACCAATAACACTTTCGTTACAAAACAATGGGTGACACCAATCATCAATAATATTATGCTACCATTGTTTATATGCTCATCTTCTGAAATCAGATGACATATATGTTTGATCTTTGCATTACATAACAAGCTTCAATTTCTCTGAATTTGTAAACTATTTACTTAATAACTGAGCCATGATTCAGATTTCTGTACATAACGTCGACTTATACAACGCGTGAGAGTGCTTTCGAGAGCCCACGTTAGCCTGCGCCGGCGCAGCCGCTAGTGCGCTGACATTATGGAGTCTTACATAACCCGACTGTCCGCAAAAGTAAAAGTGATTCTTCGCCTACTAAAGTTTCGAAACAAAGACATGCTTTAATAAACAAGGATTAAATCACACTTATTTTTTCCAGATCATGCGGTGGTTTACTGTTACGTGTATATTGTTACCGTTAATAATAGCGAGCACATCGGCGGAATGGTCTTGGGGACAAGAATCGAAAGCAGAGGGTAAACAGGAGAATGCTCAGCAAACTACAGACTTGTTACAAGGCGAAGAACTTCCGAAAGCTGAAGAGAAAAGTTCTGATTCTAACAGTACCGTTCTGGATGACATCGTAGACGAACTGATCAGCAGCAAGCAGGGCAGGAGTTTGGGCGGTTTCGACGACGACGTGTACAGCGATCCCACGATCAAGGAAGCCTTGGACGCAGGTGATGACGCTGAAGCAAGAAACCTCATCAAAGGACGCCTTTGCACTTTAGGACTCATTCAAGTAAGTATTCTTTAAAAAGTAGTTCATACTGAACAAAATAATAATAGCACTAATTCGATTCTACGTAATATTTGTTACATAGTCATGCCAGTTATACGCAATTACATTCGTCTTTATTTGTAGATTTATAAGTAGTTTAAGTAATGATATTAAGTATTATTTAATTATTTCAGTGCGATGAAGATGACACCCAAGAAAAACGAACCTACTTGTCACCAGATGAACTGATTTATGCTCAACCTGTTGACATCAAGCCAATTGGCAAACCCATTGCGTCCATTCCCGTCCGCGGACCACCCAGAGCCTATGGACCACCTAGGCCTATGCCTACTTACCACACACGCCCGCAGAAAGTACCCCCGAAAAGAGTCGGATACGGAGGTAACTTCCGCCCTGGATTCTCTGAGAAATACGGTGTCGCAGGAAACAACTTCCAGTTCTCACAAAGCAGCAGCGGTGGACTGTTTAATGGACATGAGGCGAATTACGTAACTAAACCACCTACATATGCTAATGACAGCCCTTACAACTTCGATAACAATAAACCAAGCTACAACAAGGGCTCTTCGCAATCAGGCACTAAAACAGACTCTGTAGTACAACAACATGTTCACCACCACTATGTACACAGTGATGGAGACAAGGACCCCAAAGTTATTATCAAACCTGTCGCTATTCCTGTAGGATCAGTAGGACACCTGGCGTCACAATCTCCTCAGACTTTTGGACACCAATCAAGCGATATTATCACAGCCGGTGGTGGCGACTACAGTAGCCTTAGTTCCGGAGGTTTCAAACCAATGACTGGAGACTTTGGTGGATTAAACAGCAAACCAGTATATGAATCTGACACTATATACGGATCCCAGTATGGCCACAGCGGTTTCAACAAAGAAGGATCTAGTATTTTAAGCCAGGGTTTGCCAAACCAGTACCAAAACAATTTATTCGAAGACCAGCAAAAATATGGTAACTCTCTAGGATCGTATGGATCACAGAACAGTGAATTCTACAAAAAAGAACTCAATGTTGGTTCTGCTAACAATTTGTACAATCAGGGTGGATCATTCGGAGCTAATGGAGCTTACCAAGAAAGTTACCATGTGCCAAAGGCGCAAGGACTTGACTGCGTGTGTGTAAACTATGACCAATGTCCCAGCCAGGAGGTCATCGGCCGCAGAGACGACTTATATTTGCCCATCGATCCTCGTAACAAAGCCAGCGAAATCACCGCGCTGACCGATGAACAAATTGATAACATAACCAAATTAGATGCAGCTGAACAGGCTAACCAAAATGCTACCACTGAAACCAAGAAAGTCAGCAAGAGGGAAACGAAAGAAGCTGATGATAACAAGGCTGAAGAAGCTTCGAAACAAATTGAAGCAGTAAGTAAACACCTTTAAATGACTTACATTAATCTTACACAATCATTGTAACTAACACTTATTTTGAAACCTTTCGTCGCCACCCATTTAAAAACATATCATCATTTTTCATTTATCATAGACATGCGTGTATAAAACTGGGGTAACATTTGTTGCATTCGGAAATGTGTATGATCCGTATTTAAACCTGAATGTAACAGCTTTCAAAAGAAACACTAAACAATGGGCATTGACATAATTATATCTAACATTGGATTGATACTTTAATTATAACATTAATTTACAAAAGTAAATATTACTGCAGCGCCTCATTGGATTGGCCGGCTACGGCGGCAATGGCGGCAATAGCAACAAACAAGTGCAGCCCACGTTTGGTGTCTCTTTTGGGTTGCCCCAGCCTTCCCACGGCGGTTATCCTATCAATCCTTTTAACTCAAATCCTCTATACAACCCCTATGGTCCAGCACTTAACAGCGGAGGTCTAAACTTAGGTTTAGTCTCAGTAAATCCTCTTCTAGCAGTTCAGGTCACCAAAAATGATTATGGCGAAAAAATCGTCAAGCCCTTTGTTAATTTGCACGTCACGCCAAATGAACATGTAGTTAACAAACTATCCAATATATTTCATGAGAAAAAGTTATACCTTCTGAATAAGCATGAGCATTACCACCACTTCAATCCTCATCATGACCACCACTTCAATCCTTATCATGACCATCACTATCCAGTACCCCATCATCCTATACAGCCAATATACAGTCATAATCATCATAATCCTCCACCGCACTATTCACACCATGGGCCACCGCCAGTTTATTCCCCACAATACAATCAATACAAGCCATCGTATGGTCATATACACCCGTATCAATCTCACGAGCCACCTAGTTATAATGACGATTACTATGATGACAATGAAAATGTGCCTAATCATTTTGATGATGGCGCTGATTATAATAATGTTTACCAAGGTGGATTTTATGGCCCTGGTTTTGAAAGAAATGCTAACATAAGTGCAAATGATAGACAAGGCACATACGCCAATAGGCATGGTTACTCCCGTTCCCTTTCCCTTCCTCAAAATAGACCTGGGGCTAACCGTGGAGGCCAAACTATCCGATTCCCTGAGAACAGGAAGAAGAGAGAAACCACGGTAGAAAAATCTGTTGAAAATATACAGGAGGTAATACTAGACCTATCTGATATAGTGTATCATATAAAAATAGGATAGAATCACCTTTTTAAATCAGTCAATTACTATTTGATATCTCCTGAATATGTTTTTAATAATCATTTTAATTTCAGCGTCAAGGTTACTTCGGTCGTCCTCCAGTTCAACAATGCAGACAGAACCAGGTTTGCTGCCGTAGACCTTTGAAACCTCAAGCCGGAAACAGAGGCCAGTGTGGTATCAGACATTCCCAGGGAATCAATGGTAGAATCAAGACCCCATCTTACGTCGATGGAGAGAGTGAATTTGGCGAATACCCATGGCAAGCGGCTATTTTGAAAAAGGACCCCAAGGAGTCAGTTTATGTGTGTGGAGGAACATTGATTGACGCTAACCACATAATGACTGCAGCTCATTGTATTAAATCGTAAGTTCTTGCTAATGTTTTTACTTAGTGTTTACTATACATATTTATTTTCAAAGTTAAATCATTAAAGGGATGCAATATTCAGTTAAAATAAAAATATTCCCTTAATTATTTCAGATACAAAGGATTCGAGCTGAGAATTCGTCTTGGTGAATGGGATGTCAACCGTGACGTCGAGTTCTTCCCCTACATTGAGAGGGACGTTGTCTCCGTCCATGTCCACCCACTTTACTACGCTGGAACTTTGGATAATGACCTCGCCATATTGAAAATGGACCACCCTGTTGAATGGACCAAATACCCTCACATCAGCCCGGCTTGTCTGCCTGACAAATACACAGATTACGCCGGACAGCGATGCTGGACTACTGGATGGGGCAAAGATGCCTTTGGCGACTACGGAAAATACCAAAACGTATTGAAAGAAGTCGATGTCCCAATTCTGTCTCACGGTCAATGCCAACAGCAGCTGAAGCAAACGAGATTGGGTTACAACTATGAGCTGAATCAAGGTTTCCTCTGCGCTGGTGGGGAAGAAGGCAAAGACGCCTGCAAAGGTGACGGTGGCGGTCCCTTGGTGTGCGAGCGTGGAGGCACGTGGCAACTCGTGGGGGTGGTGTCCTGGGGTATTGGCTGCGGCCAGCCTGGCGTTCCCGGCGTCTACGTGAAAGTCGCTCACTACCTCGACTGGATCTCTCAGATTACTGGCAAATTCTCGCCATACTGAAGCGTTAAATCTATTTTGTAGACGCAATGAGTCACAAATTGACTGAATGTTATATCATATTTATTATTAGGCGCTAGATTATATTTAATATTTATTCTTACTTTGGATGGTAATATCCAGAGACACGAGTAATCGCATAATGCAGATAAATTTTACAAATATATTAAATATTGAAATAAATAAAATGTTTATTACTTTTATACCTCCCACTTTTAACATAATTAAATATTAAATCTAGTAGGTAGGTATTTTAATAAATTATGAAAGCACTGAACAATAGACAAATTACAGCATATTAGAGCCTTCTTACTACACATTTTTCAAAAGCATTTAATCTGTCGGTAAACTTTTGACACTTACCATAAATGTTATTGCTTCGATGTTTGTTTTTGTTGTGCACTGCTTTCGAATTTTACTATTTACTGAGAAAATAATCAAGTCTTTCTGTGAATAAAATGGCAGGGAAAACTACAGACCGTAAAGGGAAGGGCAAAGAAACTAAATCGGCCGTTAACGAGTTAACAGAAAATCTAGCGGCGTTCACTTTGCCCGACAGTCTGCCCTGCTCCGAAGTAGAATTCCCTGTCCTCATCAAAAGAAAGGCTGGTGCTAGCTGGAAGCAGATACTGGAGGAAAGTGATGAGAAATTCAAAGAAATAGAAGCGTTTGCCGAAAGCAAGAAAGAAGCAATACCAAAATCGCCCTTTTTAAGTAAATACATACTAGATATTATAATTTATCAAATGCTTTGAGTACTTAGTAGCTCATTAGTTAGGTAAATTGCGCATTAACTCATGATAAAAGAACCTCTCTATATTCTTCACTTGCTTATCCAAGAAGTAACTATCTACTTACCTAGTTCATATCATTGAAAAAGCTTGACAGTTTTAATTAACAAAATTACATCATTTAGACCCTAAAACATAAAACACAATGCAACTCTTTTCCCGACACAGAGACTGAATGCGATTACATCAAAAGTGAAGTTTTCGAACATCTCATACCGGCTTTGGAGGAAACTCTGAATAAAGCTAAGATCTGGGAAGCATTATTGCGTCAAAAGTGCTTCTTCAATGGCATAGATCACATTGTTCAGGTAAAAACTGATACTGATATATATAAAATCTGTGTCCCGCTGTGTGTTGTTCCCCTAAAAATAATTGTGAGCAAAGTTGCAAATCAACAGCAGCAGTAGACAAGTAGGTACAGTGTTCTGGGTGTACATACACATTCCAAAGAGAAATCGCCAAAGCTGATACTATGTTACATTATCCATGAGTGACGATGGGAACCATATGGGTTAACTTGGTGGGTTACAGATTAAGAATCAGAATGCAACGAAAAGTACAACAGACCTCACAACTCTTTCGATTTCAGATTTTGTGGAACAATAATCCTAGATATCCAGAACGCAAAGACAAAAACGTGCATTTATTCAACATGCCTTGGGTCCGTGCTTACCTCAAAGAGAAGTAAGTACTATATTCGAAAAAATGTCTTAAGAAATCGTTTAAGTACTTACGCCAAAGAAAGGTGGGTCATGGTGGGCACAAAATACCAGAACTTATTTTTTCATTTCAGTCCACGACCATATTACCCCAAGTCGTGGCTGTGGCCCGAAGACTACGCTGCCACCTTGATACAAAAAACAGTCCGACAGTACTTCGTACAAAGAGAAGAGGAAGTCCAGGAGATGCGTGACTTCTGGAGGGTAAGTTCAAAACATTGTAGCTATTGAAAAAGTCCCTACTTGTGTTTAATAATGTCCTTAATAATGTGACTACATAATTTTTGGTAAGCAATTTAAAATCCAAATATTGTAGCCATTGCAAATGAAGCAATTTAATGTGCGCAAATCAAAATCAATCAAGGTAGTTTGAGAAAAATATCCTGCCTTGGTAGGTAACTACTACACATTTGCAAACAACTTCAATGAGAAATCGTGTCGTGAGATCATGACGGAATGATCGAGCTCTTTGGCGCTCCTTGGGACAGTCTTAGGTCCAGCAAACTGTAATGAGGGCTATCGAATTTGCCCTCACCAGTTGGCGCCACTGTAAGAAGGTCCAGTCACTAGGTGGTGGCTGACAGTGACACCATTGTAGAGTAAGGTCCTGCCAATCGCCAGTAGTGCCAACCGGTGAGCGCAAATACGATACCATTCATTGGTTGATGATGAAATAAGTAAATACTTTTATATTAATTTCAGAAACTGGAGGTGGAGCGCAACGTCCATGATATGGAAACCAATCCGTATTTAGCCAAAAAATTCGCATCGATACAAAATTTCCGCAAAAACTGATGAACTTAGAGATGTCTTAAATGACAGAATATTTTTTTAAACAGCTTTAATTGTAATCTAATTAATTAAACTATAAATACAGAACAAATGTGTGTTTTAATTCAGCTGCACTCCTTCATAAAGAGAGAGACTAACTGGTTTCCCAAGGCCCATAGTAAACTGGACGGTGGGTTGCTCACCGGGCTCTGCAATCCTTAGGACTCGGTTGGGGCTCTTGTTGTAGCTTAGAGGCATCACATACTCCTTCATAGTCTGGAATGAGAAACAAAATTGTATTAAACACCAAGCATACTTTCTGATGAAGATTGGGTTTTCTGTAACATGTTTTTTCTCAAAGCGTTGGTGGTAGGGCCCAAAAGATAAGGAGAGATTATTTTGATGTTCTTATATGCCAAATATTAGTCTTAGTTGAATGAAGATTTTTCATTATTCATGTTGTCTTGCTGTCTGCTGAGACTGAGAAAAATCTGCACATAGGTACTTTCATAAAATTTATTTATATTAGAATACTGAAAAAGTTTGAAGATTTATACTTCTTATTTATATTCAAGATAGTCTTAAGAATAAACCCTAGTGGTATTTGACGCACCCGTGGTGGACGCCCCCGATTTAAATAAATTTAATATCATATTTTTTTCGGCTTTTGCACTAAGTACAGTCAACGAAAAAAGTTTCACAAGCTAATTATTATACTAAACTATGCATGTTTGACGCTATTTATGCAATATGGGAGCAAAATTTTAACCCAAAACCAGCAGTAGTAAGAAACAAAAAACTTTTGTAGGAATTATTTTCATTTCATTACATTCATTTTTGTGTTTAATTCTACTGGCCTAATAAATATTTATTCGTTTATAAACATTTTTGTGCCTGACTGTACATTTGATTAAAAATTGCTTCAAATCGAATTTAACTGACCGGGGGCGTCGACCACGGGTGCGTCGAAAACTGGGGGACTCGGCCACGGACCCGTTTTTATAGTCTATCGATATTATTAATGTACTGTGTTTTTTTCAATGATAAATAAATAAAAAATAAAAAACTTAAATACGTAACGTAACATTTAGAAGATAAGATCAGTACTTAATTACCTCTAAGCCCTTCTTTTCATGATCCTTCACAATAAACTGCTTCATTAATGGAGGCATTTCAATTGTGGTTGGTAGAATAACTTCTGGGAAATTGTGTTCCTTAGTTACGGAGGCCAACAGTTTGGCCTCTTCATTCTTGGGTATGAGCTTGTAGTCGGGCTTGTAGGAAGTGCGGTAGATTTCCGTAAGAGTTGGCAGTTTACGTCCCCTGAAAGTCTTTTCAACCCAGATGCGAACTCTACGCCGTTCCTGTAATGTTACATTAGAACCGAAGTTAGAGATCTAAAGTAACTATTTATTTCATGTTGTAACTAAGATCAGGTTTGTGGTTTGATACCGCTATATTATGTAAATCAAAGGGCCTGGGCCCTTTCATTCCCTTTATATATAAAGTTGTTTATGTGTTTATTATAATTTTAAGCCGCTATAAAAGCTTACTTACAAATTGAGTGCTATTAACTTACACATTGCTCTCTGTTTTGATTGAAAACGAAGGCATAAAAGAGCTTGAGTTTCGAGTTCGAAGGGCATCAACAATATGCAAACACTTACCTCATCAGGACAAGTTTCCACTTTAACTATTTTCATGAAACTTGGTTCAGGGTAGCGCTCGAACACGGATCGCACAATAATTCTTCCAACTCCTAAGTTTTTCAAACTTCCTACAATCTCCCACAAGGTTTTACCTTGAAAATTGGTGGTTCTTCCAACATATTTGATAACGGGAGAAGTCATTTTATGTTTTATCCAGTTAAAATTACTCAATTTAGAATAAAATCTCACATCAAAATAGAGTTAGGTTAGGATTCCTTCCTAACATCATTTTTTATATGTATCGAAGCAAGTACAACCTTAACAGCTTATTATTAGGGTGCAAAATTCTGTGAGAAATGCTTGAAGATAAAACAGATGACACTGACGTTTCTCGAATAGCTGACATTGACAGCTATGAACAGTATTGCCAGTTAGAATAATATATCAGAACATAGTGTATCTGTGCCGATAACGATCAAACCGTTATTTATCGTTTTTGTAACGATCAACCTGAGCTTTAAAAGCTATTCGCGTGGTGCCGCGTAAAAATGATATTTAGTATTGTTTTACCCATATTTTGCCTAATATTAAGTTCACGAATATCGGAATTCTTGAGATTGTAATGTAAGGAGCTGCACAACAAATTGACAGATTGACAGATTCAAAAGATCGTAATCACTTCGCAGCAGTTTTAAATATTAGTCATAACACAGGTCATAGTAAATAATAGGCCGAAACTGTTAAAAACTTCAAAAATATAATTAAAATAATAATAAAAAAAACAAGTATTTTACTAATAAGTTGGTCATCTAACTCATCGTTAATAAAGGGAAAGAAATAAATCAAATAAATAAATAATTTGCGTACTCTTATTTTCAACTCACTATTTTCACTGCGCTTTTTAGCACCATGCATTCAGGAAAATCTGCTTTGGGCATTTCATTTACCTAGGTTGTTTTAGTGCTCTTTATACCTACCTATATTTTTTTTTTAATCCAGTAATATTTTAAAGTATTTGGATTCTGAATTTCTGGCCTATTATAAATTTGTATAGTTAGCTTAATATGTTGAGGGAAATAAGAAGACATCGTTATCAAAAAATCAACTTCAATTTATTCTCAATTTCTTATTTTGTTACTTTACGGAATTTACGCAATACAAATGTTGTAAAATATAATTACAATAGATAACAGTTATTAAATTTTAAATGCAGAATTAT